CACTCTTTCATGCTTCAAATGGTAGACGGTACAATATTATAGTTCAATTCAGTCTTTGAGACTGGACTAAAAAGATAGGTTGTGATTTGGCAACTTAAGGCAGATGTGACAAAAAACTAATTTCATCATTTAGTTCTAACCATTTCAGTAAAATGTAAGCACTAGGAAAAATGTCGGTAAGCATCAAACTGCAAAACAGTTGTTAATATATACACGACATTTATTCTAATGAAATCTAACTTGTCTTTATATTCATTAACTAAATCTAAATGTCATTGTTTTATATTTCTATTAATTACATTTGAAGTCAAAACCTTTGTAAGATGTAAAATAATGAGCGGTTTTGCCAACTAGAAAAAGAAAAAAAGTTACCTTTTCTGCATTTACAGTAAAATCTGAGGTTAAAAGACCACCTTCACTGTGATCATGGCCCACCTCATACATGTTATATGACGGATTTCCAATTTCTACATTGATTCCTCCATTTATAATGGGTTGTCTTCTGATAGTTTTTGTCCTATAATGCATAAACACAAAAAAAAGAAAAGACTCTTCAAGTAATTTCTTGGATGCTTCTTCCTAAAATAGTACAAATTTTATTTCTCTTTAATACTTAAGACCAACAGGACGAAAAAGGGTCTCCTGCAGAGACAATCAGAAAATCCTTTCATTTTTTCAAACAAAGTAGCCATCTGAGTCTATTTGTAGATCTCATATTAGCCGGAAGTAGCTTTTTATTGTTTTTCTCAGTTTGACTGTAGCGGTATGAACTAATATTTAGTGCTCACTCGTTGTCTATAATCCTGACTTCCTCCTATTATTTCCAGAATTCCCTCACTTCCCAAGGAAAGCCTTGCAAATTCATTGCAGATTCCCTGCAGTAATGAAGATGGAGCAAACATGAGTCATGTTCCTTTGCTCATCCATTTCACTTCCATTTGAAATCCATTGCCCAAAGTCAGTTGTAAGCTGAGGATAAGCGAATGATTTCATTACAATGCATTAAAAATGTATGAGCTTCTCATAGTTCCGGTTTGTATTCCCTGCCACTGGTTATTGGAAAGCTGAAGTTCAACTTGAATATTTTTCAAGCTTTAATAAAAGATCGAGTCTTATTTTTAACCTTGAATTAGATATCAGTAAAGATAAGTGATTGAGTTGAATTGTTTCAGTTGCTGAATTAATTTCTTTTAGCTAAGGAGGTGATTTTAGTCTGAACAATTGAAATAACCTCAAGAGGGTAATTTTTCCCAATGCAATATGTTCTCTAGAATTGCAAGGGAATAACGGGGAGGTCACAGTCAGGATGATAATAGTCGAGTCCTCTTGTTTGGTTAAGAAAGATTCAGTCAGCGTCTGAAATCCAATGCACTAAAGGATCTGTATTTGTCAGACAAGACATAGAAAAAAAATTTTCCTAAAATAAGCACTTATCTATAGCGTACAACTGTTGAACATCTATACCTAGTTTAGTACTTGACAGTCGTCTTTGAAGGGATTAAAAAACCCTAAAATATATTTTCAAATATAATTTTAAGAAAAAAAAAAATCTTTATTGAGGTTAGTTCTATTTCTCTACCGAAGATTTATTATTAAATAAGTTATTCTCAATAACTTAAACACTTGACAGACCAGCAACTGGTTTTGGGGATTTGGCTATCACTAAACTTGGTTTCTAGGTACAGCAGCATGTAATGACATCCACAGAGCCCGGCAGGGTCAGTGTTACCAATGGTTTGACCAGGGGATGTATTTAACTTGTTGGGTTTTCAAAAAAGATTTAAAAACTAATGCTTACTAGTTAGCACCAGAGTTTGCAGGGGAGATGCTATGCATGATGCTAGACGACAGTAACCTAAAAGATTCTTTCAGTCTGGAGGAATGAAATAGTCTCATAAATGGTCACATTTGCAGAAACATCAGATTCATCACATATTTCTAAAGGACTTTACAAAAGAACATATTATCGTGGTTTCAGAGGTGGGGGAACAAGCCCCAGGAAAAAGGAAGACAGCTGCTCAAGACCAACCAGCAGGCCAGCTGCAGGCCTGAAGTAAACAGTTTGCTGTCCGATTCCCACTCCAGGCCTTCCCTAGTTGGCCACGTCCATATCACTGTAAATCTTTCCTCGTTAAATCTGCATCACCACTAACATCACTTTGTCGTTTCTCTGAACACAAGAAAGTTAGCAACTCTCAGGTGCCTGCATACCGTAGAAACACTCTTGCTTCCCCAGCCACCCGACATGGCCTTTGAAGAAATGGCCAAAGTCGAAGTGTCTACGACACTCCCTAAATTCATTATCAGCTCTAAGGCAGCTAAATTCAAGACAACAAAAGATTCACTGCTCAGTGCTGGAATTTGGCTTCCTACACAAGATACTAAAGAAATACATTAATGATGACAAGGCTTGGGACTCCACAGTATATACTTTGAACATTGTTTAATTTAACTATAATTTATACAAACTTGAAAAGAACGAATCAAAGTAAATAAATTGAAGTGAACTGTAACCAGAAACTGGAAATTCTGGACAAGCTCGATCTGAAAGTATGTATAGACATGAACAATATTAATTAGGTGGTTCCACTGAAATACATTAATTCTGTTTACTAAGTTCACTAAGTCTCTGGATAAACTTATGAACACTTATACAGCCTTGGCAGGATTGAGGAAATTGGGTAAAAGAACTACATTTTCTTATTTAGTGTATGTGCAATATAAGTAGAAATAACAGACATGATTTTTCCAGCAAGAACAAAAACGTAACTAACTCACTGCATCCAGAAATAAGTTTTGGGTTGTTTTGTTTTTTTTTCTGTCTGCTTGAGATATATAAAGTGAATTTCTAATACAAAAAAAAAAAATGCACGTACTTTAAAGATTTACTTTTTTACTTCATACGTCAATACAAAATTACTTACCTTCGTTTCCTTTTGCAAAGAAATAGTCCAATTACCAGAGTAGTGATCAAAGTCACCAGTAAAACAAGAGGGACAATGATTGCAATGCTTCCTAAAACAGGAAAAGCAAATATCACTGAATACTCACAGCTACATCTAATAATTTCTTCACAGCTGTAAAACAGTTAAATTAATTTAAAAAGAGTAATTTCCCTCACCAACAAATGCAATTTTATGTGATGAGCTGCACTGATTTGAGGTTTTATTGTTCATCAATAAAAAAACCATATCATTACAGATAATGCTGTACACACAAGTACTTTTATCAACAAATTGGGAGCCTCCTCTTTCCGGATAGCGATATACTTCAGAGTAATTCTCTGCCCTTATTTGCAGCGATACAATATGAAGGTGTGTGGAATTGCTGAACAATTTGGAGTGGCAGGGCCACTGATTTGAAATGCCACCATCATCTCCAGTAGTTTATTTAATTCAGGCAACTATTAATATAAATATTCAGTAGGCATAGTTCCGAGTGAAGAATTCCATTCTTAGCATGTATACGTATTTATTGCTTTTATTTGTTGGAGAATGAAAACTAGTAAGC